ACAAGGAAGCCTCCGGTATTGTGGGGGGTTCCCGCAGAGGATACGGCTTGAGCTCCTGCCTAATGAAAAGTGCAAAGAGTTTGGTTTACTGGACCTCCAAATGCTTATCGATGGAGAAAACTTTGTCTTGGAGCTGTTGCCTTCAGAAGGACCTTGTGTATTAATATAACTTGATTTTAATGCACTTGAACACTGCCTTGGTGCTGGCTGAGGGTTCAGGTAGGCAAGGCAACTGCTGAACTGGGGTAGCTACATTAATAAACTAAGGTTAGTAGTGGTTTTAGTGTTTCCTCTTCAAAATTTGGTTGTATCTAAACAGGAAATTAAAGCTTCCTTGCTGCTCTTGCGTTCGAAAGACAAACGACAGACGATTGGGTTTGCACCTTCCCATTGCTCTTTGTCCCTGGTTATGGAGGGCAGTTTTACTGATGTCAGCATTCTGGTCCCTGTGCTACAAGGTGTTTTGTGGGCACACGTGCGCCCTGTGATTTACCTGAAGTATTAGCTAATTCTTATTTAAGGATGTTCAGGCCTTTTGCAATGTTAATTTTAGCAGCTGAGGGAAGAGGAGGTGGTGGTAGCAGCAGCTGACAGTAAACAAACCAGGTGACTGTTAGAGAAGAGAGTTAGTCATAAAGTGATAAATCAAAGAAACACCTCCAAGGACAAAAAGCTTTAGGAGGAAATCAAGTTTTGCATTCCACTCTGCACAGCAGACTGTGGCAGGAGTCTTTAGGGACTTAGAAAATTGCTGGTTTTGGTTATGATTTTTATGTAAACATTACAAAACAAGCCAGGATTATGCTCATTTTTGCTTCCCGAAACTCCTTATTCTCATGGGCTTTTTTTAAACCTTGTGTGTGACTAACTTCACAGTGTCTTCTCTGGCTTCTACTTTTTTGGTATAAAAGACCCACTGATTTTTTCGTAAGAATGACCTAGCAGCATGTAGACCACATGAAAGCAAAGCTCTAGAAAACCATATGTGATCCTCAGGCAGTTCTAGGGTGTTAGGAAGTGGTAAAGGCAAAATGTGTTGTGGTGGTTGTGACCAGCAAAAGAAATATACTACAAAGTCCTGTTCTGTATGAAATGTTAATAACCTCCTTGAGCAGCCAGAGTAATTGCATGCAACAAATTGACTATGAAGCTGAGTCAGAGCCCAATTACCAACTGTGTCACAACACCCTTGGTGTAATTTCTCCTGACGTGAGGGTTGAACATCTGCTGTGGTAGCAGAGCTAGAGGAGAGCAGAGGACTGGCTTCACTGTGCACTGCTTTTGCTGTCTTCTTACTGACCTCGCAGCCTCGAGTCACCTTTGGTTCAGAAGTTTTGAAGCAGAATGAAGAGTTGATTTAAGTAGCGGGTGAAGACCCTGGTCAACCCTGACCAAGGGATCCTGATGCTGTAGTCCAGGCTACTGAATAAAGTTTGCTGTCACTAGTGAACACTGAGGCTGCTGTGGCAGTGGAGCTTACCCTGGGCTTTTCCCATGCTTTACTCCTGTCCTTGAGCCCTCCATTCTTTCAGTTTAAAATCCTGGACTCCCAGATGCTAACAGGGTGTTCCTGGGAGACTTGCATCCCTCAAGCTTGTAGAGTTCCTCTATTAGGACTGTGCTTTGCGTGTGGTGACTGGTGGGGAATCTTCTTGAGCATTTTCCCTGGACACCCAGAGAAGCCATGGTACAAAGACACTAGTCCAGGCTTTGCCATCTGTTCACTGGAGCTCCTCTTGCTTGCTTTGTACTAACAAATTTTTAAGTTTTTCTAGGTGTGTCTTCTGACTGGGAGACTTTTCAAAAACTACAAAAAATTTCTTAAGAGGTATAGGAAAGGTTTTGCTTACACCTAGGGATACTTACACGTCGCACCATGTATGCTGAGTTCATGTGCAGCCGTCTTGGACAAAAAACCTACCGAATCTCTGGCTTCATTTTCCTCTCAGTGTTAATGGATGAGAGAATTGTGAGCAGACTGGAGCGCTTGCCTGGTTTAAGAGACATCATAGAATCATAGAATTGTATCGGCTGGAAGAGACCTAGAAGATCATCGAGTCCAG